AGATTCTTCTCTCAATTCCTTGCTCTATCTTAGCGATCCCAACCTTTTCATTTTGGCTCTACCGAATCGAACGCCTTCTTGAGTCAACAAATGTGAGTACAAGAGGCATGTGATGTTCTCGAGCTGCTTCTATTAGGCGACGACAGGTTGCGATATGGTCCAGCGTGCTGAAATTTCGACGGAATCCTGCTTGTTCTATCGGTTGAGCTTCTTCTAGCGCCCTTCGCATGCGTGCCAGTATACAGCGAGTGAACACTTTGTAAAATACTGGAAGAAGCGTGATTGGCCTGTAATTCGCCAGGTCTTCCTTATCGCCTTTCTTGAACAACAACACCGTCGATGACTGTTTCCATGCCGTTGGCACCGCACTTTCGACCAGGTAGCGAGTATATCGTTTGGCAAGGGCTTGATAGAGAGGTGATCCACACGCCTGGAGTAGTTCTATTGTGATACCGTCCTTTCCGGGTGCTTTCCCTCGCGCCATCGTCTGGACTGCATGGCGTACTTCTGATGTGAGGAAAGGCAGAACCGAACTTCGATCATGTGACGATTTCTCACGCGCTTCGAATGATCAGGTCCGACTTGAAAAGATTGGTATAGAACGTCGCCAGAATCCTCTCCATTTCTGGTATCGACGAACAACGAGATCCGTCCTCGGCCTTAAGACATGGGATCATCAAGCGGTACTCAGCTATGCTTCTCTTAGCTTTTTTGAGACTTCTCCTTTTTTCTGCTTCATCCAGAAGCCTTGACCTGGTGAAGTTTGCATGGTCTTCCGCGACTCGTCGCCTGCACATCCTGGATAAACTCCAACATGATTTCTTGACGATCGATATTCCTTTCGAGCAGTGCACGAGTAGAAGACGATATACGACGAGCGGTGTGGTTCGGGGCTACGTCACGACAACGCTGTGCAAGCCTTTCTACTGTTTCTATGAGACGTTGATAATCTTCGTCAATATCATCCATCATTTCGAATGGTTCCATACTCGCAAGTCCTGCTGCTAATTCCGCATTCAACACTGTCCGGGGGCATGTTTGCCTTGAGCGCACTCGTATCGTACGTATTAGGCCTCGATCAAAGTGGAATCTCGCTCGTAAAAGGCGATGGTCGCTTCCTGTGTTGAAGGACGGAACGACGGCGACATCTGTTGCTGGCTCTTCTATTGCACAGTATATGGTCAATTTCATGAAAGTACTGCCCGTTTGGAGATACGTGGGTCCATCTTTTTGAGGCCGCTTTGAGAAACTGACTGTTGCCATGGAAGAGATGGTGCGATTCGCAAAAATTTGCCAGCCTTTCTCCTGCTTCGTTGCGCTGCTCAGCAGAATGAGGGCCTATGAATAATTCGCCAGCCTTTCGCGATCCGACTCGGGCGTTGAAGTCGCCCATCACTACGACATAGCCTTTCTGGCTGTGTACAAGCTCTTCGAGTTGATCGTAGAAGTCGTTGTGCTCTTCTTCTTCGCAATCCGCTGTGGGCGCGTATACTTGTATAATGGCGACGTGTATATCTTTGGAGATACTGGCGCTGAGTAATGCGAAACGGTGACCGTAGAACTTGACACTTCGTACATGCTTGCAGAAGTCAGGTGCCACGATGAATCCAACACCTCCTGAAGTTGCATTGTGCTTGCGTGCTCCTAGGTATAATGCCGTTCCATCTGTCCACGTGCATGTTAACGATTCCTTCCTCTTTGTCTCGCTAAGTCCGATTACATGATACTTGATCCGGTTGAGCTTTCATCAATGAGCCTGCGAAGCTGAGCGCGCCGAAACTTGATACTCCTGCAGTTGTAAGTGCAGGTTATCAGATGACTCGCTCTTGTCCTTCTCTTGTTTGTGTAGCTTGACCTGAGATTATGAGCCTTTGGCTGTGGGCTTAAACCAGCGCTACACGACTGAGCAGTGACAGCCTGCAGTGGACTAAAGGCTTATGTAAGAAAGTGGCTCGCTAGATTTTTCGTCCCACAGGATTAGCCTGATGTAGGGCGTTCCTTGTCGCTCAAGGAGACAGCGCCGTCCACCAAGAGTTGCGGCACGTTCGGGCTTTCTTTTCGTCACGGGAATCAGTATGGGGTTCCGGCGTAACTCTACCCTGACGGGTATTCCGATCCCGCTTCAAGCTCGTACACCACGACAAGGTAGAACCCATGTACGGACAAGCAAAGTATAGATGTTATATTTTTTTGATTTCACTAAAGCCTTTGACAAGGTCAGCCACTCAAAATTGTTATTCAAAATTAGTAAGCTAGGTTTCCATGCAGTACGGTTTATAATGAGATAAAATCCGTTTCTCACTGGAAGGACTTATCAAGTACGCGTTAACGGTTCGTATCAGATGTTTTCTCCTTCGAGAGTGGGATTCCTCAAGGTGGGGTCCTATCCCCTATACTTTTCAACATTTATACGGCTGACTTGAGTTCTTTCTGTTTACGCGGATGAATGCTGTCCAGTCCAAACAATATGCTGATGACCTCAAGTTCTACAAAGTTATAAGCTCCCCTCAGGATACGCTTGAGTTACAGGCCACAATTGATCGGCTTCTCCATTGGTCAGCGAATTGGCAGATACCGCTTTCGACTACCAAAACGTTTCATATGCGCATGGGCTCTTCTTCCCACTGCAATGCATCTTATTTCATGAACGATAAGGAGATTACCAAGGTCAATGAGGTCAAGGATCTTGGGTTCCTATAACAATAACAGACTGACTTTTCTCGACTACAGCATATATGTAAGAAAGCCCTTCATCGTACCTATTGCGTATTCAAGGCACTCACTACTTCGGATAGCAGGGTGCCTTGTTAGAGTTTATAAGACCTATGTTCGGCCTTTGGTAGAGACAGGAACGGTTGTCTTTGCCCCATATAAGAAAAGGGACATTGCTGTTATTGAAAAGGTCCAAAATAATTTTACCAGGAAGATGTTAATCCGTCGCGGTGGCTTCCTGTATGCTAAAATCCCTAAGGCAGAAATTAGGAACAAATATTTCGGTCTTCCCTCCCTACATTCCAGGAGGACCCTTTTGACTTTATGTATGTTGCATAACTGATAAGGGACAATTCCATACTTGATTTTTCTCGTTTCTACACCCTTATTCCGTCCGTTACCAGAGGTTTTCAACACAAGCTATCATTTGCTCGCCCTAAAGCAACCATTAGACGCAATTTCTTCACTATCAGAGCGGATTTACTATCTACGTTGGGCAAAACACATTTGTTTAATGCTTCTGTGACTTCCTTCAACGTATGCATTAGCCAAGCGCAAGTTCTCAGTGCATATGGTGCTTACGTTCATATCATGTTGTCTGTGTTTTTTTCTTGTTTCGTTCTATTTCAGATTTTTTCTCATTCTAACAAGCGTTGTCTTAACAGCCGTACTAAATAAATAATAAAAATTTCTGTACAAACACATTTACTGGTAGTTATGTGTGCAACAGTGTCCGCCAGCTCCAGCCGTGTGTGTTCCTCTCTATACTCAATCACACTATTGATCAATACGTCCCCTGGGCTCTCGTCTATCCGAATAAGCGCAACCTACCGGAATATTTGCGCAACATGTCTGAACATAAAGAATGCCTGTTTCAATATGCCAAACTGACCGGCGACTGGGTTGAGTACAACAGATTCTCCTTAGTTTTCACCAAAACTTATGAAATTCAACAGAAATGTAGAAAAGAAAATTGTTGAAGCTAAGGACAAGCAGCGTTTCTTCAAATTTATGAGATCTAGGCTGCGCGAGAAATCTCAGTTTACGGATTTGAGGTATGAAGACAGATTGCTTCTAAACGACTTCGATAAGGCCAATGCGTTTGCAGTTGAGTTCAGTAAAGCATTTCAACAAGACAATAACGATTTACCCTCATTTTCGCCCACTGTCTCTTATAAAATGCAGTCCTTTCCGTACTTTGATCCAAGGGATGTGTACAGTCTTCTCATGAAATGGCCATGCTCGTACTCTACAACTCCTGACAGAATTCCTTTCCCATTCATTAGAAACGTTGCTCAGGCCATTGCGTTTCCACTTTCATATTTATATAATCAATCCATAATGCACTCGCAAGTGCCCCGATTATGGAAACATTCCTATATCACCCCAGTCCTGAAGAAGGCGCCATCATCGGATATTTCCAACTATAGGCCAATAAGTATCACTTCGTTTTTCTGTAGGCTCTTTGAAAAGTTGTTAAAAACTCACATCCTTCATCATCTTGCAGATAAAGAGTTAATTCCTGCTTCTCAGCATGGCTTTATTTCTGGGAGGGTATCTAGCGTACATGCAATAAATAGTAATACTGTGGTGGCTCGACGACCTTGCTCCAGCTGGTGCGCAGTTCGGCGACGAGGAGAGGGGGGCATTTGCACTTTCGCTGCTTTACTAATTCCGCTTTACAACTTCTATTTGTGTGGATCCTAGAAGCTTGAGCCTCATCGCGCCATGTGGAGGAATCTATCAACTCACGCTCTGTAGATGTGATGTAGCAAAAGCAAAAATGACCCCCTCTCCGGTCGGCCCCCTTGTGAAGCAGCAAAAGTGCGGAAGCTCTCCTTCCTCCTTCCCGCCATCGGCAAACTTCTTTGGTCATTTTGATTCTTCACAAAGAAAGTGCTGTGATGGTCTAGATAGTGTAGCGATGGGACATTTCCGGAATCCTTGTTTTACATAATATGCCTTGACATGCGTCACATCAATGCACAACTGCGAACGATGTGACTTCATCGATGAAGGCCATGTAATTAGACCGGAAAACTTGAACATTGTGAGCAAGTAGTTATCAGTAATTATACGCGGGGCTCGGGATTTTTCATCAGCTGCAATTAATCCCTTGTTTTTTCTTGGTTGTTTTTAGTTTTTCTTAATCAAAATGTTATTATGCTATTGAACGGTTAGATTGTATTATCCCTTCCTGCAATGTCCGCGCCACGTCTGCCGGTATTAGTTGTGAACAAGAGGTTACAAATCAACAGTGACTACGGTGACTACTTTCTAGGTATGTGATGTCAACTTCGCTCACCGGTCTTTACTCGATGCCATTTGTACGAGCGTTACGACCACAACGTGCTCGAACTTCTCTCACGGTGATCATCATCAATTGCAGCTTGGTCCTGGTGTTGAGCTCAGGCGTTACCTGTGCTTGCGAATACACTCGGTTGGTATGAATTTCATTCGACCGCGTTCATACTTCGCGATCTAAACGCGCGAGCAAAGTATGAGCGCGCTCCTAGAGCTTTAGTCTTGAAGTTCTATCTATCGTAACATCGATAATCTCAGGCATAACATCATTCGATCTTCTCGGCGCGTATTCGTCATTGAAATGGCTCAGTAACTTCAAACTAGTACTGGCGTACAATGTTCTCTTCGCCGCAGCAACGATCGTCTGTGTCTTCTCACAGATCACTAGCCCAGTTAGGAAGCAAATATTGAAAAGGTGAGTGGGGTCTTATAGAGCTAAACGCGTTTTGTCACCTGATTCTTAATTTTGTACTTCGGCTTGGAGTCCCAGTAGAGGATCTGTTGCCACCTGAAGGGCGTATCCTACGTTAGGGTATGAGTGCCTTATC